AGTGATCGCCGTTAGCGACAGCTATACTAAGCACTACTACCAGTGATATCAATAACATAAATGCTTTCATGATTTTTAAATCAATTGCTAACTAAATGGCAAATGAAATAAAATCATTTATATATTGCCAGCAAAATTAATCAATGAATACGAAATACATTTATAAGCCTTAATATCCGAAATGTTGGGAATTTCTCAATAAATTGTGAGCTTTTGTACGTAAATGCAAAAGTTTTGTCGCATTTAGCGCTCATTCGTTTAACTTTAAATGTCTGTGCGTTTGGATAAGGAAACTACAAAATAGCTTCCTTTAAGATGAATCATAAAAATAAAATAATTAACTCAATTATTGATAAATCAGTTGAATTATTTTTAGTATTTATAATTTAATAAATATGGGTTAATATTAAATTAGACATAATATAATCTATATTAAATGTAATAATTTATTACATAAGTTATTACTAATAACTCAATATGAATTTATTCAAAAGTACACATTTAACACAAATAAAATATACGTTAAGTAGTGTATAAATAATTGATTATACAGTTTATTATTAATTTAATATATTAGATTTAACTTTATTTAATTGTAAAGTAAGTAATAAATATAAATACAAGTGGCAATTATTTATACATTATATTTTTGCAACAATTTAACCTTTGGTCGAGACCTCAGTATAGGAGCCGAGTCTAAAACCGGAGGCGCCCTTAACATCGAGCCAACCCTCACGGGTGGCGATCACAGCCTCCCCAGCGTTCAGTCCTTCGGCCAAAACCAATAGACCAACCGAAGAGTCCTTTGAATCCAAGGATTTCATATCTGATTGAATACAAAATTATTAACAAAAAAGTTTTAAAATACTAATTGAGTTTTGCATACATTTCTCATATAAAGATTCGGTAATTGTCTTCACTTCTTGTTTTTCGTCCACATTTTTGCGGCCATTTTTACCGCCATTAATGTTGGCCACAGCGCCCGCACCCAAGCCGTAGACATTGCTTATTTTGACTGACTTTTGGCCACTTCTGACCAAAACAACTGTCGCTCCGAGACTTCCGATCGCTTCCGTAATAATGAGTCCGTCATTAGCTTTGAGTTCATTTTCAGGTCTTTTATTGATATCAGTTTTGGACAGAAATTCATTCAAAGTTTGGTTTGCATTCAAATGACTGGAAATGCTATTAGTATAACAATAATAAAAAAGTAATTAATATTGTATTAAATATAAAATTATATATTTCTTACTTCGAGAGAATATTTTTGGCAATAATTTCCAAATCATTGGTCTCTTGAATGAGAGGATGGGCTGAGACGAGGGCTAAGACTGACAACACTATCGCTAATATTCTCATCATTTTATTGCAGTTTATATTTAATTATAATTATTATTATAATTGAATTATAAGACAATTTTGTTATACTTTTCTCAAACAAAAGTCATGTCTTTATATACTATTGAATGATGTCTT